AAACAGTTGGTCACGATAGTTGGTATTGGGCATAGGTCGTCGATTCATTGGGTGGACTGCCTCTGGTTTTAATCCGAGCCTCACCAGTTCATCTTTTACGGCAGCCGCTTCGTACGACGGCAGTCCTCGTAAATGGTTTCATCGAAGGCAAATCGTGGGTGTAAAACTCCACTATGCTGTTCTTCAGCAGGTCACCGACCGACTTGTACTGCTGTAGGCTGGAGCACATGATCTTTGTTCCAACGCTACAGATCTTGAATCGCGGGAACAATTTGCTGCGTCATCCGAAGCAGTGCTGGCATCCGTTTGGGCCTTCTTACTAGGGCCCTCCGATGCAGGAGCAGTAGTGCTTTGTTTGGTGGCAAGTGCAATTAGGCTTCGGCTTGTGTTGTTAGGGACCAACTTTCTGATGGCTGTGATAGGGGTGAGCACCTTGCGGTCGATGAAAATGTATGAGAAAATTGAATTTTTCTATATTTCTCAATTTTAAGCTGTTTAAATATTGAACATTCATAATGTGTGAAATATCACACAAATCTTATAAAACTTCCGAATCGATCGACATATAATTCATCAAAATCCATTGATTACTGGCCAAGTTATTAGCATTTAAAACCTGGCAAATTTTCGTTGCATTTCCCTGGATTGGCACCCTTCCCGAAAGACGTAGTCCTACGTCAATAGTAGATTATGGTTAATTGTTTACTTTACCCTATTTCAATTTTACCCCCTAACAATCACATTTCAACTAAGTATAAGAATAAAAATCATTCAGAGCGAAAAGTTTGAGAATTCATCTTTAAAAACGGAAAAGTTTATTGAAATCTGCAAGCAGCCAAAATCGGGGGTAGACAAAATCTGGAAAGCACTGTATCGTTTTGTTTCGTAGCGACTTTGCAAATTGCAACATTGAACTTAAATAAAACAGCAAAAAAGGTTATCTTCCATTAATTCCACTTAATTAATTTTGGTATCCATGACAGATACGTATTTTGACTACAATGTGCAGTCTTCATCAGTGTCATTCCCACTAAAGAACTTATCAAAATCTAACCCCCATAAGTACTTATCCCCTAGGTAAAAAAGTCAAGATCACAGGTATAAAAATGAAACTACAATGTGTTGAATCGGAACCTACTTAACTAATAAAAACCAAAGATTTAAGTAAACTAAAGGAGAAAAATCTATACAACACTCTAATAAGGAAAATCCCAAAGGCTTGGTAGCCATCATAATGAAGTAATGAAGTTGGGTTGTTAGCGGAATGCTTAAATAAAACAGCAAAAAATGTTATCTTCCATTTAAGTAGTACTTAAGGGGGTTAGATTTTTATAAGTTCTTTAGTGGGAATGACACTGATGAAGACTGCACATTGTAGTCGAAATACGTATCTGTCATGGATAACAAAATTAATTAAGTGGAATTAAATGGAAGATAACACTTTTTTGCTGTTTTATTTAAGCATTCAGTTAACAAAATATTCGTCATTGTCCTAAATTCCGCTTGTAAGTTCCGAAAGTGGTCTGTATATGTGTATAGTACAGAAGCATTAGGAGGAAACCGGTTGCATCAAAAAGATCTGTCGTCTCTACTTGCTTACTAAGAAAATTGCTAGCTTGGGTATTTGATTATTAAATCTAATATAATTAATTATTAAATTTCTGTGCCACAAGCACAGGACTTTTCCTTTTTGCCACCCACTTTCACAGAAGCTTGTGCAAGTGGTACAACCACCACTCGGAGAGCATTTATCCGGTTCCGGTAAAATGTTGGCTCAGAAACTAAATTGCTGGCATAATTATAATCGTATGACCGCATTTAAATATAATCATTTAATTCAATATCACCGAATTTTTTCATCCTCAAACAGGACGTTGTCACACAGCAAAGCACACATAAAGAGAAAGGGGAGCCCAGTATGGTGACTGAAGTGAAGTCCCCCTGAGAATTTCTCGTTTTTAATAGGGTAATGACACGGAACGCTCCATTCTCTTCAATTATATTTATGAGAAATCAATAGGTCGATAGGATCTACAGAAACCAATAGTCGACGACACGCGGAAGTGCAACCACCTCATAAGGTCGAACTGGAAAACACCCATTTGACCCACTTTTGTCGGATCGATTACTCCGGAAACCATTCACCACTACTAGCAGTATCATCCCTCGACACAACTCTGGTACACAAATTCCATTTACACAGTACATCACCCCACGACCGCCATCAAACGTGACAAACTTACCCACCCACCAAGCCACAAAAAGAAAACTCAATGCGATTCTGTTCCAATATAGAGCCATAATCGTCGTCGTCGTCGTCGTCGTAATTCAGATTCAAATACGAATCCTGTTGGCGTGTTGTTTTCCATTCGCCGTCGTCGTCGTCGTCGCGTCGCATGTGTAAATACAGAACTTACACTCCATATCGCGGCGTCCGGACGCAACGACACGATCCGATGGGGGGTGGGGTTTGAGGAAGCGCATTGTGGAAGTGCAAACAATTTCTCGCAACATGTTAAATGTACTGTGCTCTGCTCTACTATACGAAAGAGCTTTATCGCAATAGTTCAATCCATTCAACTAATGTCGGAACTGGAACCCCCTCGCCTCCCATGGCAGTCAGTGCCAAGTGCCGCGCACACGGTGAAATATGAAAATTACCAAAGCCATTTGAAAATGGATTCGGTCCCACTTCCGTCGGCACTAATGTGCGAGGATTGCCGGCAAGCAATCAAGCAACAACAACAACCATCACGGCTTGTACAAGTTCACAACCGCCACACAGTATGAGGAAGTTCATAATTCATTTTTCACCACCATAACCGCCGCCACCACCGGGGAAATGGGGTTAGAGCCATCCATTCTTTTGTTTCCACTTGATTGTGCCATACTAGAATGTCGCGTGATGCGAAGAAAGTTATTTTCTTGTTAAGCCGTGGTTTGTGAGTGGTGTGGCAGCCAGACTTGTGGGAAGTACAATTTATATGGAAGGAAAAGCTTAAGGTGAAGCTCCTCGGAAGTGCCTCTCATGAGCAAGAACTCGAAGTTTATGGTCCGGGGATAACTGTCCTGGTGAGTGTAAGAGCTATATCATCTTGCAACAGTTACTTATCATCGTCTGTGGAGAATAGGACGTCAAATTATTTCGCTGATGCTTATGGAATTATATGGTAATGTGTTGTTTTCGTGTTGAAAATGCAATTTATACTATAATGTAATGGACAGGAGAAGTGTCGTAGTAAAAAATATTCATATCTATGTTAATACATGTCTAGTCGGAATGCTTTGTTTGGCCCGAAAATTCTATTTCACTACCACTGAAAAAGTGCCATCTGCTGCGATATAACACTTTGGATCATGCCCTATTGGAGATATTTACATTATACAGTAAACAGCGTTTATGACATCGAAATATGTTAACGATTCATGAATATAATTTTGTTAATTTAGGTTTCCCGGAATCGATTGGACTGAAAAATCAAAAATTTGTGCCTAGAAAAAGCAAATAATGCACTTCAAGGTTGCTTCATACCATTGTTTCTTATCCAATGGGACAACCTGACCAAAACTAAAATGGGAAGGACTTGCAGAGCTGCAATTTCAATATCCACATTTTTCTAATGCTGCTTTCAATAGGTACACCACCATATATATTTACATGGCGACTCGAACCAGCTAATGGACCAATTAACGTATAATATTTAATATTTGCTTTGGAAAAGAGAACTCCGTGATAAATACCACCGCAAATACCTTTTATTACTACTAAATCCATGTTTATTCACCACTTAATGGTTTGTTGCCATACGCGTTGGTTTATCGCAATATCAATGCTCAATAACAAGCCACTATTTTATCACACTGTCAAACAAACAAAAAAAAAAGTGCCACTCTTCGAAAGTCTGTCTAGATTCAATGATTTCCCACCCCAACCGCATGTGAAAACATTCCACTCATTATCCAATATTGCACCCGTGAAAAATCGCAACCATAAGCCCATTGTTACCTTACCATCCAACAATCCACCATCGTCGCTCACTCCGTCAAAACCACACCAAATGAATAAGTGTCCCGCTGTCATTCTCATCATCAATCAATCGACCGCACCCGTTTCACCTCCCTTTCTCTCTTTTTGTCAGTGTATTTAATCAAATCACCACATTCATGACCGTGGAAAACCGCGACCGAATTCCTACCACCTCCCATGACACACACCCACCCAATGGCCGCTGCTGCTACTACACTGGATGTTGTGTGTTGTATGTGTGTGCCATTTGCATTTATGAGTGTTTTTAGTCATTATTTAAACGAACAGTTTAATCGCTGCCATCCATATTTAACATGTCACACATACCGTTTGATGTTCTCCACTGTCTGTCCTCCCTATCCCTATTCGTGTTAACCCAAACTCCGATCAACCGCTACCACTGACTATGTGGCAACAACCGTTGAAGCATGACTTGTTTGCATGATTGTGTTTTAACAGTTAGGGTGTTTCGCCCAACTTGCTGTGTCGGAAAAGTCATTAGGCCGTTTCCAATAACCACAATGAAAGTTGCAATTTCTAGTCTGATGACTTTTCCGACATTTTATTTTTATTTATTTTTATTTTCGAACCACCCTAGTCCCTTCCTTCATTGAAATTGAGGTGGCACTTTATTGGCGCATAATGATAATCACAACAATGCAATTAAATCATTTATACATTATAATTATCCCCTACCGAGTGCCACCTCTCCGCTCGTCGCCACCCCCCCCCCCCCTGCGGTTTATTATTCCCTCACACTACCGAATAAATGTTCACCATTTCCGCTTTGGAGTCCGGTTTTCCGGAACCGACACGCTGCAATATCCCCATTCAATGTACACAAACTCATACCACCCCACTCACACACAAACAAACTCACAAACTCTCGCTCTCATCTGTGATCCAATGCCGTTGGTGCAATACCTAGTTGGTGGTAATTAATTTCCGATCCTGTGTCGTCATCTCTCGCCAGCAACAGATTCATGCACAGCAAATTCCCGGAGGACCACCGCAACCGATACCCGGTCTCGGAGCCCTGGCCGGGCCGCTGACGGCATTCGGCGGCCCGATGGGACTGCCGCATGGTGCACCGCAGAGTCTGCTGAAGGCACCGCCCGATCTGCACCGGGAGGACCTGAAGATTCCCCTCGGGGGACCATCCGCCGAAGAACGAATGGTGAGTACCTCCTTTTTTTTAGAGATAGCGGCACGGCAGTGCACAGTGGGATATTTCCTCGAAAAAAGTCAATTAATTCAGTACCTCAAAAAAGTTTTTTTTTTATGAGAAACTAGCTGAGTGTGCCCGGCCTTGCTCGCGATTCAATATTTGCTTGAGTTTATGCGCCCCCCTCTTATCTAAGGGGCTTTCCCTATTACCATCTCCTTATACCTCCACATGCCAAATTTGGTTCATCTGCTTGATTAGTTCTCGAGTTATGCAGAAATTTCTGTTTCATTTGTACGGGAGCCCCCCCCCCCTTACAGAAGGGGGAGGGGTCTCATCCATCATAAAACCTTTCCTGGCCCCAAAAAACCCTTGTATACAAATTTTCACGCCGATCGGTTCAGTAGTTTCCGAGCCTATAAGGGTCAAACAGACACACAGACAGAAATTCATAGATAGATAGATAGATAGATAGATAGGGGGTGACCCCGGCATAGTGGTTAACATCCATACCTCTCACGCTAAAGTCACGAGTTCAAATCTCACCCCCAGACAAGTCGCGAATTACCCAATAACACTCTTGTGACTATAATAATAAAAAAAAAGATAGATAGATAGATAGATATATTGAATGTCTAGGTGGTTGTTCACGGTACGAATCATTTTCGGGTGGTTTGGGCGAAATAAGGATCTTTACTCTTTTTTTATTAACCATTTAGTCAAGCTTCTGCATTCATTTTCCGTCAGATGTCACTGTTGTTGTTTGTTGTGACATCTATCGGAAAATACGCATAATCTGTTTTCCGATAGTTGTTCACAGAGGACAATGCAGTCAAAAAAGTTGCAGGTTGTGTCCGAAACATGAATGCGGTGACGTAGGACTACCATATTAATGTTGCTGCTCCATAAACTAATATATTAATAACAAAATAGATGGTTTAGACATTTTACTCCAAAATGAACAAATCATTATTAAAATTTTTGAAATTTGATGGTTATTGGATAAATCCTAAAATTAAGATTTAATTTTTGAAATTAGAAAATCAGTTCCTTTCACTGTTCGGAAAATCATTCATTGAGCCTCACCGACAGAATAGTCTCGTGTGCTAGCAAACAAAGCTCACGCTTGAGATTCCCATGCATTTTCACGCACTCACACTCGCCACGCCAGAAACTCATTCCAGCTTATAAACTCATAAAAACCACTCAAACGTCAATTGATAGTATGCTCATGCATGTCGTGTTAGTTTTCTATCCATAGATGCAAACACATTATGAATAAAGCAAAAATCTAAAGCAATTGAACCTGAAAATTGTGGAAGGAAAAACTCATAGGTGAATAAACTCACGCATGAGACTTGAGTTTTACTGTTTTTCCGAACACTTGTTCCTTTATTATTCATAATTAGGTTCCAAACAGGTTCACTCAACTTTCGGAATCTTACTAAAGACTGTCCCACACCAAATTGCATCACGGAAAAAACGCTGTAGAAAATTACCCATTGGGTATTTTCTTTTAAAAATTTGGGTAGAAGTAGTTTAGAGTGCATTGTTTACACTGTATTTTATCGCTGTCAGTTTTTCGAAAGTTCGAAAAAATGGCGTCACCCGAAAAGCAACGTCGCCAATTGATTTTGCGCAAGCACCTGGAAAATCCTCAACTCTCTCATCGGGACATCGGAAAACATTTCGGAATCGTGCAGTCAACGGTGTGTCTTGTGATTAAACGTTACTACGAAACTCTGAGCATCGAACGGAAGGGGAAATGCGGTCAGAATGGATGTTCTATTAGTGATCAGGATCGCAAGCGTGTCGTGAAAGCGTTTAACCGGAATCCCAATGCTTCGGTCAAAAAGTTGAATCTGTTCAAGTCTTTCGTTCAGAGAGCCAAGGACCGGGAGGGACTGCATACGTACAAAGTGCAGAAGGCTCCAAATCGTGATGAACGACAAAATACGGTGGGAAAGTCACGGGTCCGGAAACTGTACACCCAGATGCTGACGAAGCCTCATTGTCTCATCATGGATGATTATACTTACGTCAAGGCGGACTTCCGGAAGCTTCCGGGGCTTCTGTTCTTCACCGCCGAGCACAAGTTTGATGTTCCGGAGGAAGTAAGGAAGTAGACACTTTCAAAGTTTGCCATTAAATACATACATGATTTGGCAAGTGATATGCTCATGTGGCAAACGGAGTGCGCCTTTTTTGACTACCGGGACTGTAAACGGGGAGATCTAACTCAAGGAGTGTCTACAGAAGCATCTGCTTCCTCTGTTGAAGCAACACGAGCGCCCTACGATCTTCTGGCCGAATCTAGCTTCGTGCCACTATTCAAATGTTCTCCTGGAGTGGTACGAAGTAGAGGTGGGGAAAACAACTCATCTGGCTGAGTGGATCAAACCCATCCAGGGAGCCAATTCTGGAGAGGTGAGAGCACATATGCTGGAGGAATAACATGAGCAATAATCTCTATAACAAAGACCAAAAAAAAAAGTGAGTTGATGAGCTGCGGTCCCTAAAAATGAACCGCGCGTCATCAGCTCACTTTAGAGAATCGAGTCTATAGAACAGCTCGGGAGCAGATCGCCCATTTCTAGTACGAAGCCAACGGGGTCTCTTTCGTACCCAAGGACATGAACCCCAACCCCAAGATGTTCCTGCAACCACTTCTGAGTGCGGTTCGAGGTGTGGCACGGAGCCCCATCTTGTTGAAATACAACATTTGGCTTCGGACCGTACTTAAAATCCAGATGTAGACCTCCGTGTTGACCTTGTCGCTTTCTGGAATGAACACCGGGTCCATTTTTTGCCATCGGAAACCACCAATCCAAACACCATAACGCTAGCAGGATGCTTGATCAGATACACGTTCTTGTGCTCGTCGGCCACGTATTTTACCGGAAGAGAACTAATATACCGGTCGGTTCTGGAATTTGATACGGGATCAACGGTAAACATGCTCTAGTCGGTGAACCGGATTATCGGATTACCGGATTTTTTCGCTTTAGGAAGTTCAAGATTTTCTTGCATCGTTCGACCCGTACCTCCCGGATGCGGTTGGTAATCATGTGAGTTTTTTTCCGTGCCCTCGACTTCGGCCCGCAATCTTCCTTTACGATCTTCCGTGCCGTAAAGTCACTGGTCCCGTGTTCCTATGCCATTTTCCTTATTGAACGCACTGGATTCACCCGAATCTTCCTTTTGATAGCAGCGATAACCCTCGGAACCCGAGCTAACCTCGGACGACCTGTGGCCACCTTCGCGGATAGTTGTCCTTTCTTTTCTCGGTCTAAACCCCGTTTGACGGTCCACCACACACCCACGGCGATTGAAATGTCTTTTTGCGACATTTGCGCGTGGGACAAATCAGGAATACGCTGCCACTTCGTCATTGTGCAACTGTCAAACTAAGTAAATCATTTTTTCTTATACACAGCCTACTACGATATGAGCTATAGGTTACGTGCATGCAAAGAAAACCAAGGCATTAAACATTATCACGCATACGGTATAGCTGATCGGATATTTCAATAAAGTCCTGCTCCTCCTGATATTTGTTCAAGACCTTAGGTTGATAAAGTATTATTCTAAATGTTTTCAATTGTTCAAAAAAAATTATATGACGCCTCCAGAAATTCTCCCAAGATTGCTAGTCGATCAGCAAGTATTCTCAAGATGTTCAGGTTATCGTAAATTTCAGTAATGTCACGTGGATTTTGAGGTTGCTTAAGTGTTATCCTGAAACAAAACTGATTTTGGTTGCACTAATTTAATAACATTTCATGAATAGAGGGCGGGCTCTTCTCCCCACTCCTCCAACGTCGGCGATGTTGCCCACGGATTCTCCAAATCCGTTGTTGGCCCTTCATGCAATGACAGGTTGAGTACAATGGATCACATCATTCGAGCAGTTTAAAATGACGTTTCCTACAACTCGAACTTTAACGTGGAACAATATTTTGATATATTTTCTTCAAGAACCTCGAGATAATAGGGTCTTATTTGTAATATGCTTGAAAAATCTGGAATTTATTGTTTCATTTCCGTAAAATCGCTGGTAGAAGGTCGTCCCAAAACTGCTCGACTATATGATTAATTAGAGGTTATTAAAATTTATCAAGTCGAACAACGAGGATAGTCCACATTCTACCGAAAGTTGTTTTGCTACAGTGAGTGGTAATTCCATATCATCATCACTATAAAAAAAAATCATCGCCTTTCCACTTAAAATTCAAGAAGTCTTCTCCAGTTTCAGCATGTCTTCAAACATCTTCACTTAACACGAAATTTGAAGACAATGGTCGAAAATGGGAATTTAGCTGCAAAGATGCATTTAGAGCCTCAAATTGAAACTTAAGAGAAAATGTGTCTTCAACAAAGTTGTTCGTTATAGTTAGATCCTCATTTTGATCTCAATTAATACTAGGGTGGTCCTTATTATCATTGAAATAAAAATATTAGCTTTTTTATTTGCAGAAATAAAAGTATACATTGTTCGATTAAGTTGTAGTTCAGCTAATTTGAAGCAACTTTGTGAGGTAAACTATTTGTATATCTCTTGAATTGAGTGATTTAGAGAAATTTTCCTTAATCAACTTAGAGTGTCACTAAAAAAGTTTTTTCGCTATTGTTTTTTTTTTTTTTAATTTTTAATTTCTCGACGAAGTTGTCTTTAGATAATTTTTAGAATTTCTGAAGACGCAACAGTGCAGAACTTGTCGATAACTTTTGCTGATCAAGAGTTATAGATATTTTTATTTTTAAAATGCACCTTTTTTATTATTAATATCTCGTGTTATGGCAGACACAAAAAATATTTGTTTACAGCATTTGAATATATATAACACAAAACACTTCGCTGAATGTATTCACACGATTCCGTAGTCTTTCAGCTTCAATTTGATTTCAATTTTAAGACTGAGAAATCCCGTTATGCCATATTTTTTCTTTAAATAAAATATGTGCACTACAAAATGCGGCTGTTTGCGAGTTGCCGATAATAGAACACCTGGTTTACACGCAGTTCAAATGAAAAGGCTGGCGAAGACAAAGAGGCTGCTGTCAATATTCGCACTCATCTGAGAAGTTTGGAGCGTTGTAAAAACGTTTTCAAACAGTTTTGGATAAAAAAAATAGAAAAGTAAGCAGCAGATAAATGTAATCAAACACACGTGTGCGTGACGCGTGACGCTGAGGAAATGCTAGTGTGCGTGACGTTGAGGAAATGCTAGAAGAAGCGCGGACGCTCCTAGATTTTTTTATCTTTGGTTTGCTTTCCGTCGATCTTGTATTCCGTACTGACTACCAATGGGAGGCAGCTCTCACACCTGGACCCTTCCTATCGACCCATCAAGTCATGGACCGGGGACCAACGGCTTTACTTCCCATCCGAAGGAAGGCGTGATCAGAGATTTTATGTCTCAGAAAATCACGGCGGCGCCGACTGGGATTGAACCCAGGCCTGCTGGGGTGAAAGGCAGTCACGCTTACCACTACACCACCAGCACCGCTACGCTCCTAGATTGTCGAGAATACGTAAATTCCCCAACCTTATTACGTTGTTTTTCCTTTTAACTCTTTTACAATTGTATCACTTTCACTATTCAGTTTCACTATTAAGTTTCACTATTGATTTTCACTATTCATTTTCACTATTCGCTTTCACTATTCACTTAGCAAATAATGGAAAATTGATCAAAATTGGTCAAGAGATTCAAAAAAATATGTAATATTATATAATTCTAATTGGAATGTTGGAATGCCAAGAGATTCGGAGTTCGATGGAAACTTTAAGGTTAGTTTTAGAACAATTCTGCAGATGATTCTAAGCTTATAGATTTATGAGAATAGTTCCAAATAGCTTCTGAGGAGAATGTTAAGAAAATGGAGTATTTACCGCATTTCCATGCACATTCTAAAAATAGTATCAAAGAATTTCAAGGAACTTCTTAAGATAATTCTAAGAAGAATAAACAATTAATTAAAGAGGATCAGGTAATAGCTCCATGAGAATTGTAAGGAGCATTTCATGGGAAATTCGAAAAGAATTCCAAATATAATTCCAAGAAAAATCTGAGAATTATTCCTAAGGAAATTCCAAGAGAATTTTGAGTTAATTTGCGAGATACTTTGGAGAACTATTCAATTGTATGTCGCCCGTATCCCAATGATGCAGCTGGCACGCAGCAGAGAGAATGGAGGCCTGAAGCTGCAATTACCAGCTCTGAAATGTAAGTCACTCGCAATCAACCGACACCTACAAGAGATCGAATCCCTTCCTTTTTATAGATCCCTTCTTTTCCACGATAATCCCCGCCCAGCCATCTCAATAGATCTTCCCGACCTTAGACAAATCCTATCAAACTTATCCCAAATTCCCCACCAAATCCAACAGAACCCCTCCACCGATCAAATTCACCAGTACTTCGTCCAGCAAACTGAGCTACCAAGGGTGGAACGTAACAGTCCAGCAAGTGGCTGGTCACGCATATGGCGAAACATTGCATCGAGGCAACTTACTTCAGCGCAGAGGACGAAGCTTTACTTGTTGGTGAACGAGAAGATAGAGCACCGCAAACTGCTATTCGTGATGCGGCGAGTAGATGACGAAAACTGTACGCATTGTGGCAACCGTACAGCAGAAACTCTCTCCCACAAATTTTGTGCTTGTGCACGCGTCGGCCCGGCTTGGACGGTTCTTCAGCAGAGAATAGCAGTCATCTTGGGTGGATGGAGGCGACTCGAGTTCGAAGACTTGCTAAGACCTGCCCTATTAGGAATAAACGACAGACATAGAGTGGCAATTCTGAATATGTTTATTACATATATCTGCTTCGTTAACGATTGTAACGGAAGAATTGATTTAGCTGATTTGAACTTTAATCTTGATGTAGCAAATTGACGGTACAACAAAAAAACTTTGTATGCTAAACTGACAAATAAAACTTCACTATTACAACAAAAAAAAAAAAAAAAAAAAAATACCTGACTTACCTTATTGACTGAAATTTAAGTAAATTCTTGGGAGAATTATTGAAAGAAAACTTAAATGGAAATTCATTTCAATATAATTGTTCATCTTCCTTGATTTGAAGCTCTTGCATGAGATTTTCGCCTGCCCTCAACTTAGTGTACTTGAAGCATTCCACAGTTATTAATTGGGAGCTTTCCGTGCCAACCAATGCATGAATTTATACATTGTGTGGCTAGCACAATGATGCTCAATGCGCAGGGAAGGCGAGAAAATTTCCATCCCGAATGTTTTTTGGTGACGTAGACTACGTTTTACGGGAAGGTAATGGGTGTAAATCGAAAATCTAAAATTGCGATCGTCACGAAAAGGTGTAAGGTTTTGAACGCTTATAACTTTATCATTTATCATTTATCATTTTGAAATTAAAATCTAAATACACCAATCGATAGGAAATAATTCTCAAAATATGCCACAATAAATGCTTTTCCAATTTTCCATAAAAACAGTTTAACAGTATACAAATAAAAAGTGATTATTTTATCACTATTTTCATGAAATAAACGTTCTCCCCAAACCCAGTCGTCATAATCGAGTACCACTTGGTTGCACATCGTTCGGATTGAACCTGAAAAGTTATAAAACCGCGCTGCTGTCGTGGCTCAACTCAACAGCAGTAGTAGGATGGTAGCGGTTCCTGTCAACCGCAGCGTTCACCAGTTTAAATCCCGAACCTTGCGTGACGGGAAGGACGAGATCACTGGCTGCTGGCAGCGAGCCCTGTAGCCTCGATGGCGCAAGCACTCCAAAGTGGATCAACCTCGCCTGAGTGATAACGATCCCGCGTTCTACAAGTCTTCTTGAGCTGTGTCCCAGTTGCCGAGTTAAATTGAGCTCGTGGTTAAAAGTGACATTCTGAAAGTTATTTTCAATGTTCGAAAAATCCGGTGATTTTGATCGATCAGTTTTCAAACAGAACTCAGCCACGGTTGCCAAAGTTTAACTTCTAGTCGGTTAGAAATAACCACGCTCGGATAGTAGGGTTATTCGATAAATTTCCATCTGTCAATTTTACCCACGAGTTAAATTTAACTAGCCAATTGGGACACAGGCTTGGAAGTAAAATAAGCGACGATCCATAAATAAATAGCGTAGCATTTTTTAGACCATTTAATCCCCCCTCCCCCCCACCTGGACAACAACCTAAAGAAATCATTCATGCAATTTTCCGAACACTTTTTTTCAAGCTAAAATTAAATAAAAATGGTTTTTTTCTCGTACATTTTTAACCGTCCCCAGAGAGACCAAAAAAATTAAAGTTATGAGAGAAAATTCTATCTCGAGCTCAATCTCTCAACATGGCATGTATTTTAATGACACTCGATTTGTGATTTCCCTCTCACAGATTACAAAATAGAGTACTTCACACTACTAAACATATCTGGTACCTCTATCTATGCATTTAGATTACCATCCATATACATATTTTGCACTATAGATACTTTCTGCCCTGCCCCATTTATAAAAAAAACGATAGGAAATCCTTTCAGGGGCGGGGCTTATAAAGTATTTTTTGAGCAAAATATGTGAAAAGGAGGGACTTCGGACGTTAATCTAAATGCAAATTAAGAGATACCAGACATGTTTTGCATTGCACTGCCCTCTATGAACATTTAACGAAAAACAGATTATGCGTAGCTTCCGATAGATGCCACCGCAAACAACAGCAGTGACATCTGATGGCAAATGAATGCATGCATGAATGAATGAATGTTTTTAGCGTTCTGAAGGTGAATCACTGTGGAAACCTTATTTCTGATCAATCTCATTATAACATACAAAGTTCAAGAGCACAAATATCAACTCTCACCAAACTTATAACAATGAAACTGGAACTTCACGTTTGCTGTAGTGCAGTAGTCAAGGAGTTCCAATTTCATGAGTGATGTCACAACAGCGTCCAAGATTTGTGCTCTAGAAAGCTTGAAGTGATAGGGAATATCAGTCATCATGACGGCCATTGTTAGACGCTTCAAGAAATCACCTGAAGAAAGCCCTACCTTCATATGCTTCATATCTGATTGTAATTTAGGAACCATATGTATTCGCATTTTTATGAGGTCCTGAATTTAACCAAGGTTTACTAAGTAGGAAATCCATTATATCTAAATACGACCGAAATCATAGGTTACTTCTACTGTATTTAAAATCAATATCTAGAAAAATGCACTAGAATTTCACTAAACAGCTTAACGTAGTCTACATCCACCATGCGGTCGTGTCTTGTACACAACCGCACCATTTTTTTTAGATTGGACCAAGAAACGAACCCGCCTCCTCCGGCTTGGGCTTAGTATTAAAGATCAGAAAAGTTTTTACGAATATTCAGGGAAGAGTAAAGTTATCGTATTCAATATCATACCCACCCCTGACAACATTCCAAAAAATTTGACCATTTCAAAACAGCACCATTGGCCCAATCAGCTTAATTAAACTTCACCTCTTTAATTTTTCCTATTGCAGCGCAACTCCGTATCTCCTGCCGAACGTGAAAAATACCGACCTCGATCACCTCTGGACCTGGACAGCGAAGCCAAACGACGGAAAGAGGAAAAACTAAACCACGTAAGTATCGGATTTCTTCCATTTACCATCTCTTCAAATCACACCTTTTCCTTCTTCAATTTTTGTGTCGTACATCCTCAAATTTCCACATACTAACAAGTAGCTCCTCTCTCTATGCCATAGTTCTCTAAATCACTTCGGGCGGGAAAACTCAATCTATCGAATCCAACTTACTAGCGACCAACAGAGCGAGCACCTGTGTGCGCTAGAGTGGATTGAACAGTTTCTTTCTACACCGCGACCTCAGAACACAAAGTTTCACCACAGACATACTTTTACGGAACCATTTCCAAACAATCAGTTTTCTTTAGTTAGTGCTACAACCCTCCCTTTTTCTCTCCGGATATTTTAGATTTTAGCAACCTTTTTAGTTTCCCCATTTATCTTCTAAAATTTCAATGCGACATGTGTATCAAAATTCCTCATATTATTTTACAGGACAACGAGGGCGACAAAAGCGAACAGGATTTAGTTGTGGACGTCGCAAACGATACGGTAAGGGTTTTCCCTTGACAACACGTAAACAACACAGCAAAAACACAAACCTTCATTTTTCCAATTGTAAACCGGTTTAGTTTGTTCACAAATTTTGATCCGTTTTTTAGTATGTCCTTTCCTGAGTTTAGTTGAAACACACACTAAGCTACTGACACACACACACAGCACACAAATCACAACCTCTATCAGCCACAGTAAAAAGTAAGCTCGCTCTGTTGTTATTGTTGTTGTTGTTGTTGTTGTTGTGTACATGCACTTTAGCAGCTCTAGCTAAACCGATCTAAGATCTAAGTCTGTAGATTTCCCGTCCGTTGTTGGTTTGCGTTTTCCACGATCCACGATATGATCCATATCTAACGACGAACCATGTTCATGATCGTACCATTCTTACAGGGTACACCTTCTCCGCGACCAAACGGTGATCATGCGTCACTGGAAAATCGAGATCGGGACAGTGTTGGGCTGAACGGAAGCGACAAGGCCGGTTCCAGCAGTCTGAAAGGTGTAAACGATCGACCTCCCTCCCGATCCGGATCCAGCTCGTCCCGATCGACCCCAAGCCTCAAAACTAAAGATGTAAGTTCTGTTCTTCCAAGCGATTAATGCTAGGTGATACAGTCCTAATGATTTTTTGTGGCATCTATTGCAGCTCGACAAACCAGGAACCCCTGGTGCAAAAGCCCGCGTCACCACGCCCAATTCTTCCAATCCGGGAGTTCCCAAAGCAGCAGTACCTCCAACGGCCGCCGGTTATCCGGCATCACCATATCAACGACCATCGGACCCATACGTGCGGCCACCGCTGGATCCCTACGGTCGACAACCGATGCCGTTTGATCCGCACGCCCAGCTACGGACCAACGGAATCCCACTGCCCGTCTCGAGTGGTAAACCGTGAGTAGAATTCGTCACCGTCGACGGCGTAGAAATATTCGACACTGCGTAACTAACTTTAACTTCATTCCCAAACAGTGCCTATTCCTTTCACATGAACGGCGAAGGCGGACCACAGCCGGTGCCCTTTCCTGCCGATGCCCTAACGGGGCCGGGAATCCCGCGACATGCCCGCCAGATCAATACGCTCTCGCACGGTGAAGTCGTCTGCGCAGTCACCATCTCCAATCCTACCAAATACGTCTACACCGGGGGTAAAGGATGCGTCAAGGTTTGGGACATTTCCCAACCCGGAAGCAAGAGTCCCGTCAGCCAGCTGGACTGCTTGGTAATACCTTACACTAATCAATGCTGAAATGCGTCCCCTGCTACAATTGTTTCGTTTTTTTTTCTATTCCCAGCAACGAGACAACTACATCCGATCGGTGAAACTCCTGCCGGATGGGCGAACGCTAATCGTCGGTGGTGAAGCATCGAACCTCTCCATCTGGGACCTGGCGAGTCCGACACCGAGAATCAAGGCTGAACTCACCTCGGCGGCACCGGCCTGCTACGCGCTGGCCATCAGTCCCGACTCGAAGGTGTGCTTCTCGTGCTGCAGCGATGGCAACATTGCCGTGTGGGATCTCCACAACCAGACGCTGGTGCGGCAGTTCCAGGGTCACACCGACGGTGCTTCCTGTATCGACATCAGTCCCGATGGCGTCCGACTGTGGACCGGAGGGCTGGACAACACGGTGCGGTCGTGGGATCTGCGGGAGGGCCGACAGCTGCAACAGCACGACTTCAGTTCCCAGATATTTTCACTCGGCTACTGTCCGACCGGTGAGTATTGGTGGCGAAACATAGGATTGACATGCTTTCGATTTTAAAACAATAGTCTTTGACGCAACAGGTGAATGGCTCGCCGTCGGAATGGAGAACTCCCACGTGGAGGTGCTGCACGCCACCAAGCAGGACAAGTATCAGTTGCATTTACACGAGAGCTGCGTGCTGTCGCTGAGGTTCGCCGCCTGCGGTAAATGGTTCGTCTCGACGGGCAAGGATAACCTGCTGAATGCCTGGCGTACGCCGTACGGTGCCAGTATATTCCAGGTAAGTGCATTATTTGCATTTTATAAAATTACTCATTTTTGGCTACAAGACTTTGAGAGTTTGAGAACAGCTACTAGTCAAAGAGTTACTCTGAAATTATGAGACTCCTTTTGCAACTCCAAGTAGGTACACCATGTAGGGGAGATTGGGGGTAAAATGCCCATGCCAAGGAAGATCTCTGTTTAATCCTCAGAGTTAATCGATATTTAAGTGCAATGCCATCTATATGTTGGATTAGGCTATTGGCAATACCGTATGCGTGATAATGTTTGCACCATCGTACAAATAAGGTTCCCGTTTCACCTGTGCATACAATGCATTGGTTTTCTCTGCATGAACGTAACCTTTAGCTCATACCGTAGTAGGCTGTGTATAAGAAAAAATGATTTACTTAGTTTGACAGTTGCACCATGACGAAGTGGCAGCGTATTCGTGATTTGTCCCACGCGCAAATGTCGCAAAAAGACATTTCAATCGCCGTGGGAGTGTCCCGGTGGACCGTCAAAAGGGTTTTAGACCGAGAAAAGAAAGGACAACTATCCGCGAAGGTCGTCCGAGGTCAGCTCGTGTTCCGAGGGTTATTGCTGCTAACAAAAGGAAGATTCGGGTGAATCCAGTGCGTTCAATAAGGAAAATGGCAAAGGAACACGGGATCATTGACTTTACGGCACGGAAGATCGTAAAGGAAGATTGCGGGGCGAACTCGAGGCACGGAAAAAAAACTCACCAACCGCATCCGGGAGCTTCGAGTCGAACGATGCAAGAAAATCTTGAACTTCCTTAAGCGAAAAAATGCGGTAATCCTGTTCACCGACGAGAGCATGTTTACCGTCGATCCCGTATCAATTTCCAGAACCGACCGATATATTAGTTCTCTTCCGGTAAAAGACGTGGCCGACGAGCACAAGAACGTGTATCTGACCAAGTATCCTGCTAGCGTTATAGTGTTTGGATTGGTGGCTTCCGATGACAAAAAATGGACCCGGTGTTCATTCCAGAAGGCGACAAGGTCAACACGGAGGTCTACATCGGGATTTTAAGTAAGTATGTTCTTCCGTGGATCAAAGAACAGTACGGTCCGAAGCCAAATGTTGTATTTCAACAAGATGGGGCTCCGTGCCACACCTCGAACCGCACTCAGAAGTGGTTGCAGGAACATCTTCCGTTCTGGGCGAAGGCTATGTGGCCGCCATCCAGCCCCGATTTTAATGCGCTGGATTACTCAATATGGCGCGTCATGAAGGCCAAGGCCTGTTCTAAACTCCACCCGAGTACAGCAAGCCTCAGACAAACATTGACCCGTACCGGAAACTCAATCGACGATTAACATAGTTTAAGACTCTGAGAAACATGCCTCCTTTGAATAAATAAAAAAAAAACTCGAAAACGAAATTTTTGAGAATTTTTTTAATATTGACATTGTTCAATGGTGCAAACATTATCACGCGTATGGTATATTTCAATTGATATGCTTGCAAAAATAGCTAAATTTTTGTTTAAGTTGCAAACATTTGAAAAGCAAACAAAAACCTGTTTTCGAAATAATACGGGACAAAATGCGCATATTGATTTCATGCCACGAAAGCATACATTTAGGCTATAGGTAGCTATGTTCTTTCTCTATTTAATTTAAAAGGTTCACGTCTGATGGATATTCTCAAGAAACTTCATATATTTGGAACTCAAACGCTAAGGATGGTAGTTTTGAGTTATTCTTTGCTCTGATAATCATTCAGGATGATTCCCAAGGACCCATTTGACTATTATATGGAACATGGAATTGAGGTCATGAATATTTTAAACCGACTTAGGGAGATGAAGAATATGAAATTGAAAAATATTAAGAAAACTCCATTTATTTGGACTCAAACACAAAGGGTGGTACTTTTGAACTATCCTTCGACTTGATAATCATGCAGTATGATTCTTACATTCCCATTTGAGGACTACTGGAACATGGAATTGATGCCATGAAAATTCTAAGCTAAGCGGCGCCGGTGGTGTAGTGGTAAGCGTGATTGCATCTCAACCCAAAAAGGTCTGGGTTCAATCCCAGTCGGCGCCGCCGGGATTTTCTGAGGCATAAAAACTCTGACCCATTTGAAGATTATTGGAACATGGAATTGACGCCATGATTATTTCAAGCTGACTTAGGGAGAAGAAAAATATGAAATTTAAAATTCTTAAGAAAACTTCATTTATGTGGGTGATAGTTTTGAACTTAGTCATTTGGCCTGAACATCAATCAAGATCATTCCCAAGGACCCATTTGACTATTCCTGGAACATTAAACTGATGCCATGGATATTCTAAGCTGACCTAAAGAAAAGGAAAATATGAAATTTTAAAATTTTAAGAAAACTCTAGCGGCGCCGGTGGTGTAGTGGTAAGCGTGATTAACTCTCACCCCAGCAGGCCTGGGTTCAATCTCAGTCGGCGCCGCCGGGATGTTCTGAGGCATAATATCTCTGATCACGCCTTCCTTCGGAAGGGAAGTAAAGCCGTTGGTCCCCGGTTCATGAGTTTGATGGGTCGATAGGTAGGTCCAGGTGTGGGAGTTGCCTTCCTGGCGTCGGTAGCATTGGTGCTCAGCACGGAAAACAAGATCGACGGAAAACAAATCAAGGAAAAAAAAAAAAAAAAGAAAACTCAGGACTGACAATGGAATCTTTCCTGAAACCATTCTAAATTTTGTTCATGGATTTCCTAAGCTTTTATGGAGTAGCTTAAACTTAAATTATGATCACTGATCTTATCTTATGTTCTGCTTTTCTTTGATCCACTATATTTTATTAAGGTTTCTGAGCCTCTAAAACCCTGAGCTTCTCTAAGGTTCCCTGAATATCTTGGATTATTTTCGGATTTCTCGAAGTTTCCCTGAATTCTTCAAAGGTTCCCTGATTTTATTGAAGGTTTCGAAAGGTCCTCTTTAAAACTTCTCCTCATGCTCCATACGCCTTCTTCGAGGCATCCGAAAAACAGTGGATCTCTGTTGAGACAGCCTTCGGAATGGCAATGCGTACTTGATTGAACAGTGAAAGCTGTTCTTGGAGTTTTCTCCAGGGTTCACCCACCGTTGAAGGTAGCGGTTAATCCCAACCAAGCCTTTGATTATCTCTCTCACGTAATGCCGACAACTGTTGCATGAATATTTTTGCCGATGTTATGGCGGCTCCCAAGAGCCCCAGAGGGTCAAACAGAGTGGCATATCGTTTGATCAGTGATGTGTCAGTATTCAAGCTTGGGATTGAAAACTGAAACCTGAGCGTATCCCAGTGTTTTGATCGAGGTATCTGGATACAAGACAATACCTTCTGATGAGCGAATCGCTAGATCTTCCTCAGGAACTCCTTCCAGCACTGCCAGACAGTTGGATGCCCAATTTCGCAACTTGAAACCACCAGCTGACATCATTGAATTCAGCTGAACTCGTAACGTCGTCCGCTCATGTATGCCATCATACAGGTAGGTGTTTACAAGAACCGCTTTCGCGGCGGGCGGATATTTGCCCTCCTCGTCCAGAGTCAGCTGATGAAGGTAACTCGCAACCGAGTGAATATGATCGGGCAAGCGACCACCAAGGTCAAAACACGTCTTCGCGGGATGAGGATGGTGATTGATGTTTCGTCTGGTTCCGTGCTTTCGTTATCGTCCTGGACTGCTGGGATACAAAATTTATCTACTGGATGAATCAGCAGTCCTGTTCCGGTTTTCAAGGTGACCACCCTCACAGTTCCGTCTTTACCGGGGTGTGTCTTCTAGTGCACGGGAGGTTGGTTCTCATCCTAGCGTTCCGATGTCGATGGGAATAGCTGGTTTCTACCGTTTTACTCGATATTGAAGCTGTCACAAGTATTCTCTTCGTCAACGCTTCCACAAATCCTGCACCCTTCGCTGGGTCAGCGCCATTGGTTTAGACGATTGAAAGGGACATCTGTGAAGTCTAGCTCTAGAAACGCTTGTAGTGATTCGCCGACCAGAAAATGAGCGGGCGTTAATGGCTGGAGATCGTTAGGATCATCGGAGACTTGTGTCAGAAGCGTAGCCATGTCTTCCGAAGATACGAGTGTTTCTCCTACAACCTTGGGGGAACGGAACCGATAGATCCGCTGATTGTTCCTCCAACACTCGAGTCTTATCCGTGACCTTGCCAAGGTGATTGGGTTTGTGAGGATTCAATGTAGTTTGGAATCCTTGCAAGGTATATGGTTTCAGGAAATCGAATAAAAAAAACATACTCGCGGTTACATTAAAACGAAGACAACAAATCAAGAAGACTGGCAACTCTTCCATTTTCTCATACAAACGCTATATAAGACAGGTACAATCGCGTCATCTGCCGCTCAAAGGTAAATGCTTCGAACGAACTTGATAGCAAAGGTTACATCCTCAGAAAAAGGGTTTGTGTATTTACTCATATTTCTATGCGTTGCTTCCACCTTCACTCAAGCGCAGCGCTACTGTATCTGTCGCTTGGATTCTGGTAAAGTTGCCAGTCTTCTTGATTTGTTGTCTTTGATAAAAACCTAACTGCAATCAGCACATTTGTTCTCCACTTAACACATAACATTTATTTACTTTGATACTAAACGTCAAATTATAAAACGCATAAGGTCTACCGCCGTGTTCGACTTGAGATACACCTACACGCTATTTGAAAACTACCCAAATTTGGGTATAATCTACCCAGATCGGTCAAAACTGAACATACCAAAAAATGGGTCAACTGTGTTGGGAGTGACAAGTTGACAAATGAACAACGTCGATCGGATCCATGTCAATGTTGTTCATTTGTCAACTTGTCACTCCCAACACAGTTTACCCATTTTGGGTAGATTCAGTTTTGACCGATCTGGGTGGATTCTACCCAAATTTGGGTAGTTTTGAAATAGCGTGTACAACCAACTGACGAGCTGTTCCACGAACGGCCTCTCCTGTCCGGTGATGTGTGCGTACTCCGTAACTCCAAGTATGGGATGATCAAACCCGGAGAATGATAC